ACATATATATATATATATATATATATATATATATATATATATATATATATATATATATATATATATATATATATATATATATATATATATATATACATATATATCTATATCTATATCTATATCTATATCTATCTATCTATCTATCTATCTATCTATCTATCTATCTATCTATCTATATATATATATATATATATATATATCTTAGGGACGGAGTAGACCAAAAATCTATCACTAGAAGTAACACAAAACTAGACTTGTCATCAGAAACCGTTTGAAGATAACCAGAACTTGTGACAAACAAGTTTTAAGGATTGTTCTATGTAACCCCCCCTCTAACTCTCTTAATTTGCATATTATGACCAACTTAGCCATAAATACAACGCTTCGTGTCTATGACTTTAACTCATAAATGAGACTAACTTCACGCCACAGCACACATCACACGCACATCAGAAAACAGCAGTTTCACACATCGCGACACATCACAACATCATGCACCCACGCCCACACCCACATCCACACCCACACCCACGCCCACATCCACGCCCACACCCACGCCCACATCGACACCCACATCCGCACCTACACCCACACGCACGAGCCAACATCCACGCCTACATCCACGCCCACACCCACATCCACACCCACATCCGCGCCCACACCCACGCCCACATCCACACGCACGAGCCAACATCCACCCAGAATCCACCGGCTGTGTAGTGTTTCCTCGGTCTCTTAACACCTCATATGTATGCCTTGCTTCCTCTCTAATAAACCACATATTAACAAAATTGTGTGCCATTTTGGTTTGGAGTTTGACGTTATTTGGTTTAATATCATGGCGGGAGGGCAGTGAGTGGGTCATACGTCATCCATATGGGCCGGGCGAGTCCATTATCACCGGAGGGGCGTGGAGGAGGGGGGGGGAGGGCGAGGGGTGTGGAGGGGAGGAGATTGTCAATCTCGCTTTATCTACGATATATATTTTTTCTTTCTTCTTTGTTCTCAGTCTCTTTGTTTCGCTCGCTGCCTCTCCGGGTGTCGGTGTCTCGCTCTTTCTTTTCTCTCTTTTTCCCCTTTTCTTATTTCTTTCCTTTTTCCCGTATTGATATTTTTTCTTTATTTTGTAATTCTTCTTCCAGACTTGCCTCTCTGCCACCCCTGCCCTCTCGCTTCTCCTTTCGCTCTGCCCTGGCTTTCTCTTTCATTATTTTTTTTATTTCCTTCTTTCTTGCCTGCCTATCTTCTTAGCCTCAACCCTTTCGTACACACACACTACACACACAGACACACACACATATACTACACACACACACACACACACACACACACAAACACAAACACACACACACACACATACTACACACACACACACACAAACACACATTGACACACACATACTCACACACACACACTAACACACACACACACACACACAAACACACACACACACACACATACTACACACACACACACACACAAACACACATTGACACACACATACTCACACACACACACTAACACACACACATACACACACACAAACACACACACACTGACATACACACACACGCAAACATACACACACACACACACACACACACACACACACACACACACACACACACACACACACACACACACACACACACACACACACACACACACACGTAAACATAAACGTCCACTTTCGACAAATAAACAAAAAATAAGATGACAAACAAACTGCTCCCTCCAACCCACCTAAATACTCTTCTCCTCGAACATTCCAAGTCACACATTCCAAGTCAAATGCAAGAAAGTACCACAGGAAAGGTATAGAAAAGTATAAATACAAATTAATGTCATATAAATACGAAAAAATAATTTTCCCAATCAAAAAAGTGCAGTTCCGAATATTTACACAACACACACAGATAAATTATTAATTTTCGATCGCATCTCCTAACTAAATGTGTTACAGAACGTACCATAAATCCAGGATACAGCTATGGCCTCGCAGAAGACAGCGAAGAGGATGGAGTATCCAGCGGCGTATCGGTCCAGCAGCGAAAACACGTAGTAACCGCCCTGGAAATAGGACTGCTTGCTGAGAACATTGTGGGTTGAGAAAGAGGCACTGGTTGTGGGTTGAGGGAAAGGCACTGGTTGTGGGTTGAGGGAAAGGCACTGGTTGTGGGTTGAGAAAGAGGCACTGGTTGTGGGTTGAGGGAAAGGCACTGGTTGTGGGTTGAGGGAAAGGCACTGGTTGTGGGTTGAGGGAAAGGCACTGGTTGTGGGTTGAGGGAAAGGCACTGGTTGTGGGTTGAGGGAAAGGCACTGGTTGTGGGTTGAGGGAAAGGCACTGGTTGTGGGTTGAGGGAAAGGCACTGGTTGTGGGTTGAGGGAAAGGCACTGGATTTTAAGTGGTTTGCTACTTTAAGACAAATACACTGAATGCTTTATACCGGAAAATGAGCATTAAAGATTAAGCTGTTCGTAGTGGTTAAAATATAATGAGTCTGTATGAAGGGTGATGGTTAAGACGACCGGGGGGGGTTGTTAATTGATAACATCAAAGACGAAGACTCCCGATTACATAAACAAAACACTAATAAATCTCACCTCAATCTTAAATCACAGTAAAACAAAAACATAAACAAACATACGCACATCACAAAAGCAACAATAATAAAAGAAAAACAGATTAAAAAATAAGAATAAACCTCACCTGCGTGCAACAACTGAGACCAACGAAGAAGTCGAAAGTGAAGAGAATCGCCACGAAAGCCTTCCTGTTCCGGCCGATGATCGGGAACTCGTCGCTCAGGGCCGTGATCACCGCCTCCGAGCCTCCGAACTGGGGGAGGCGAGAGGAGGCGTCAGAGGGAGGCAAGGGAGGGGGAAGGGTGGCAAGGAGACAACGAGGAGAAAGGAGGCAAGGAGACACCGAGGGAGGAAGGAGGGAAGCAGACAACGAGGGAGAAAGGAGGGAAGGAGACAACGAGGGAGAAAGGAGGCAAGGAGACACCGAGGGAGAAAGGAGGGAAGCAGACAACGAGGGAGAAAGGAGGGAAGCAGACAAATAGGGAGAAAGGAGGGAAGCAGACAACGAGGGAGAAAGGAGGGAAGGAGCCACCGAGGGAGAAAGGGAGGGAGCGCAAAGGAGGTGCAGCGACAGGGAGAAAGAAAGGGAAATCAAAGGAGTCACTAACATAACAAGGAATAAAGGGAGAGCAAATGACTCGATGAGACAAAAAAAAAAAAGAATCAGAAAAATAGAAGGTGCAAACGAGACAATAGGACAACAAAGAAGACGGGGAGAGCAGATGAGGCAATAAGACAAAAAAGAAGAAAAAAAGAAAAGAAAAATAGGAAGCGCAGAAGAGGCAATAAGGCAACAAGGAAGAAAAGGATAGCAAAGGAGGCGCAAAGACAGCAAGAAAGGAAGAAATAACACTGAAATACTGTGAAAGTCCGACATGGATTTGTAATCTGGATTGGGGATTACAGAGAGAGGCTGCCAGAAGGATGCCATGAACAGGAGGGAAGGAAGAAAGGAGCTTTATATAGGACTGTGGTAACATGAAATGCCTTCCTTATATGAACAATTGGTTTGTAAAAAAAAACATGACTGCTTAGCATGGTTTTGCAACATGAACTGAGGGTTACAATAGGCCAAGAGACGTAAAGACGGGAAGGAAGAAATCAGTTGTGCAAAGGACCACGGCAGTCTATCGTGATTTTATAAAGTGAAGAGTCATTATGAGAAGAGATGAGAGCTGGAGTAGACTGCGATTACCTAATAGAGGTAGTCGCTAGCATTCAAGACAACCAATTTAATTCGTTCGATAGGAAGAAATTATGGATGTGAAGGACTGTGACGATTTGGTATGTTTTTTTATGAATTAATCCAGTTGTGTATGCGAGTTCCTAGTATGAGAAAAGATGGAGGTTGCAACGGAGAGTGAAAACTGTGGTAGTCTAACGTGGCTGTATAATCACTGGGGTTAAGAGTAAGAGGTACGATGCAAGATGAAATCGGACGTGTGAAACATTGTAGCGGCCTGACACTGTAAAGTTACTTTATCCAGAGTTTTATTGCACGAAGGGGGTATGGTATAGTTCATATCTAAAATCTATACAGGACGAAGACGACGAAGAATATTTTAGTAACCATTTTTAGAGACAACAGTAAATGTATTTTTTAGACGACGAACGGACAAAAATCTCTAACAAAATTTTAATATAAGCAAGGGGAAAATGCATGTTTTTAGTAGTTGATGAATCAATGTATAAAGCAATAAGGAAAGTCTCCTCCGGGGACGCACCGACGAGTCGAGGCCGAGCGTGAGCAGCATCATGAAGAAGATGATGGCCCAGAAGGTGGAGCCGGGCATCGTCGCGATGGCCTCGGGGTACACCACGAACACGAGTCCGGGTCCCTGGTCGGCGACTTCGTTGATCGGCTTTCCGCTCTTGTGGCTCATGTAGCCCAGCACGGAGAAGATCACGAAGCCGGAGACGAAGCTCGTGACGCAGTTGATGAGACTCGTCGCCATCGCGTCCCTGGAAATGTCGGGGGTGACGTCAGGCAGAGGAATGCACGCGTAATAACACACACACACACACACAAACACACACACACACGCACATACACACACGCACACACACACACACACACACACACACACACACACACACCCACACACACACACACACACACACACACACACACACACACACACACACACACACACACACACACACACACACACACACACACACACACGCACACACATGGAGCAAATGGAAGCATGTACATTGCCGTCCATTATTTAGCGTTAATCTATATTTCTTAGTCTATTAATCTTAACCTAATTAACTTAGAATCAGGAATGGCTTATATTTCAGCTGCAACTCCATTCCCTATTTTTTCATCGAAAAGTCTATTTCAATGTTTTTTATTATATACCTCTTTACTATTTCATTTATCACTACTACAATTTTAAGCAAACGAA